CTTTGCTTCAGAGCAAGGATTCCTAGTCTCCGGCTCATTCCCTCCCTGAGCCAAGTCTCCCCCAGAATTTATTTCAGGGCTTGCTTCGCCTACTCTGCCTGACGTCTGTGACAGAGGCTGGGTGCTAGGGAGTCCTTGCCATCTGCCTGCCTCCACTACCAGCCAGGCAGCTCCTGAGCTTGCTCTCCACCCAAGCAAATCTTCTACCAAGTTACTGAAGATTTAATTTTTTAAAAAAATATTTTATTATTTTTATATTATGTGTATGCGAGTGTTGCCTGCACGTAGGTAAGTGCATCCGTGTCGTGCAATGCCCATGGAGGACAGAAGTGGCTGTCGGACCCCCTGGAACTGGAGTTACAGACAGTTGTTAGCTGCCATGTGGGTGCTGGGATTCAAACGGGGGTCTTCTGCAAGAACAACCAGTGTTCTTAACCGCTAAGCCATCTCTCCGGCTCCAGGGATTTTATTTCTTACCTGTTCTAAAGAAGGATACAACACAGTCTGTGGGTGGTTATCAGGCTTGGTGGCAGTCACTTTTACCTGCTAAGCCATCTCTCTAGTCCACATATTCCCTTTGACACAAGTAACTTTTCCCAAGTATAAAAGAAATATATGCAAGCAGGTATGGTGGCGCACACCTTTAATCCCAGTACTCGGGAGGCAGAGGCAGGCAGATCTCTGTGTGTTTAAGGCCAGCTTGGTCCACACAGTGAGTTCCAGGACAGCTGGGGCTACAGGGAGACCCTGGTCTCAAAAAGATCAAAAAAAAAAAAAACCAAAGAAATATATGCAAGGCAGCTCTTGTTTCACTCACATGTCATTAATAAGTGATGATACATCCACATAATTTCATGCAGTTACTAAAAAGAATGAGAAAAATCATACATGCCAGCAGTGACTCATGTCTGAAACATAAAAGAAAAAAGCAACCCTGAACAGGACACCTTATATAATCTTGTGTGTGGTTAGAGGGATAACTTTTTACATATGTAAAGAAAAAATATCTGACAGACTATATTAAAAACTTGTTCACGCTGGGTATGGTGGCATATGCCTTTAGTTCCAGGACTTGGGAGGCAGAGGCAAGTAGATGTCTGTGAGTTCAAGGCCAGCCTGGTCTACATAGTGAGTTCCAGGTCATCTGGGGCTACAGGGAAACCCTGTCTCAAAAAGACAAAAAAACAAAACAACAACAACAAAAAAAAAGCTTGTTCACAAAACTTAGCTCTGAAGTTTAGATTAGGGGGTGTCTCCATTTTCTAATTTAGATTTCTTTCACAATAAAGATGTCAACTCAAATAAAATTGGCCAGTAAACATTGTTTTGTTTTGTTTAGGAAGTACAGCTAAGTGGCAGAATGTGTGCTTAGCATGTGGGAGATCCCAAGTTCAATCCCCAGCACCAAAATAATTTGTGTTTGTTTTGAGAAGGATCTCATTCTAGCTCAGGCTGGCCTGGAACTCACTAATTCCACTGCAATCCAGTTTGGCATTGAATGCTCAGCAATTCTGCCTCAGCCTGACAATTACGGGCCTGAACCATCATGCCTGGCTAAATAACTTTTTTTTGGTCTTTTTGAGACAGGATCTCCCTGTAGCCAAGCTGTCCTGGAACTCACTATGTAGACCAGGCTGGCCTTGAACTCACAGAGATCCGCCTGCCTCTGCCTCCTGAGTGCTGGGATTAAAGGCGTGCACCACCACACCTGGCTTTTTTTTTTTTTTTTTTTAAAGATGGATCTCCCTGTAGCTCCAGCTGGCCTCAGTATGTAGACCAGGCTGGCTTCAGTCTCACAGAGATCATCTGCCTCTGCCTCTCCAGTGCTGGGACTTTAAAAGCCTGTGCCACCACACCCCATCTAAACAATTTCTGAAGAAAAAAAACAAAAAAAAATTTACAAAAAAAATTTTTTTAAGCCAAAAAATTCATGTTTTAAATAAGTTTATGAGTTCATATTGGGCTAATTTCAGAGCGCCCCTCTGCCACCAGATTGTACTTGCTGGGTGGTGTCTGCCTAAAGAAAAACTCTAGACCAGGTGTGATCTTGCACACAACTTAATCCCAGTCACCCCAGTACTCAGGAGGCAGGTGGATCTCTGTGAGTTCGAGACTAGCCTGGTTTATATACAGAGTTCCAGGCCAGCCAAGACTGCATAGCGAGACCCTGCCTCTCTCTCTCTCTCTCTCTCTCTCTCTCTCACACACACACACACACACACACACACACACAGAAAAGACTCTAGTGATACCTGGTCAGCATGAAAGGAGGATGTGAATTTTCTAGCCAAGTTTGAGGGCAGAGTTATACCAGGCTTCAGAGATAAGTAAGGTCTCCCACTCCCCAGTGAAGGAGTTGAGAAGCAAACAGCTGGTCCTTGAGCTAATCAAGGAGAGGGAAACAGCAGAGATGGAGGAAGGAGTCAAGAGCTCTGAGATGCCAGATTTGTTCCCTATCCCCCAACCCTTGTCCCTTGCCCTGGGAGTACAAAGTACTTGCCTAGGCTCAAGGACTTGGATGTACCAGGAAGTAGCTGTGTGTCCTTGGGCAAGTCACTGCCCACTCTGGGCCTTAAGGACTTCACTCTTCTTTCCTTTCAGTTCCTTGAGCCCAGGAAGTCCTGGAGAAGGCATGGGAAAGTAAGGCCACTACCATCCTTCCCCCATAAGAAGTTCCAGGAAGGAAAGACATGCCAAGAAAACGTGGTTGGCCTGGATTTAACACTTAGACTTGTGCAAGGAAGAGGGGTGGCCAGTAGGAGGAAGGATGAGTCAGAAGGAGGCCCCAAATCTGGGCCTACAGGTTTCCCTTCAGAAGCATTCAGTTCAGCCACCACTCCTGCCCCCAGGGACCCTCTCCTGGGTGCCCTTCTCAGAGCCTTAAGGAAATTCTACTTACTAGGGAAACTAGGACAAGGTACCACCTGCCTCCAACCCTCCCTTTGTCAGTGTTCAAAATGCAGTATCCTCTGGGCAGAGCTGAAGAATGAGAGAGCCTGTGTCCCCCTCTTCTCCCTGAATCCAACCCTCTGCTCCCACTGATGGGCCAAGGCAGAATTATTCCAAAGTTCCCAATGGTCATCCAGCCACACAACTGGCTTTCTACTAAGAGTTCCCCAGAGTGCTCTTCTTTTTCACCACACTGTCAAGCAATTGGCTTCTCCTCTCATAGTCCACCAGTCCTCACCATCTACCACCACCACATGGACAGTCAGGCCTGAGGGATGTGGGTCTGGAACAGTCACATGGCTCCTGTATACCATGATCCCTGATCTGCCCCCAGGGGTTTGGGCATAAGAGAGAAAGTTATGACTCTAAATAGATGGAATGGTGTTTGGTTGAGCCAGAACCAGGAGCCGGTACCTCAAAAAAGCCCTTGAAATGGGCTAAGTACACCTCTGCCCATATCTTTCCCTAAATGTACTGCCTCAATCCCAGAGGTGACCTGAAGAGGAAAAAATGTACTTGGAGGTTTTAAGTAGGGAGGAAAGATCTTCCAGAACAGGAAAATTTTTCGGGCCATATCCTTCTCAGCCAGGTACTGTCCCTAGGCTGCAGGACTCTATTCCAGAGGACTGACAGAGATAAATCAGATATGTCAGAGAAGCCAGGTAGCACAGGTCCCTGGCAGAACCAGGCCAGCAGCTCTTCAAGCAGTCCCCAGCACTGACGCACACTTGGGCACTCTTCCGGATCAATGCATAATCACCCCCATCCTGTCAGTGATGGGGGAGTGTTGGGGGGCAAATCTAAATGAGTTCAGACTCAGCAATAAGCCTCAGCTTCTGGCAAAACAAAGTTCCTTAGGAAGCTACCCCAGCCCCACCCCCCAGAGATGAGGAGCTGCCAGAACCATCCCTACCCTTCACCAGGTCCCAGAACAAGATTGTGAAACTGCTCTGGGGGATCCTATGTTTGCACAAAGGGTGTGAGTGGAAGGGAAGGGGGCTAGAAAGATTGTGTTTGGCTTTTACTCAGGACTCCCACCCAGAAAGATTAGGAGAATCTTATTGTTCTGCTATCAGACACAGCTGGCCTTGAGCTGAGGGGGATCCCCTGGAAGTCTGAGCAGGAACTCAAGGCCCTGGCAATGTAAGCATGTTATTCTATCACCATTTGTTTTGAGATAGGGTCTTATGTCACTAAAGCTGGCTCAAGCTAGCTATGGAGCAAAGGAGGCTGGCCTTGAATTCCTGGTCCCTCCTGCCTCCACCTCCCAAATGCTGGTGGCTGGTTCTCCTGTCTCCTGTCTCAGAGGCTGGGAGGATGGTTGACTGCCATTACTGCTGCCCCTCTGGGGAGAATAGCTTCTGTTCCCATAGATGGGAGACTCAGGCTTAGTCACCAGGCTAACTCAGATCTCCCCAGCACCAGCTGCTGCCAAGGAGCTACATCAGCAGGATTGAGCTTGGAGATGGCTTAAGGCCAAGGAGGAATGACTTTCCACTCTCACCACATCCTCAATCAGACCAACCTGAGTACTGGGGAAGGAGGGCTGAGGCCAGAACTGCACTTCAAGGTCTTATCAGACAGACTGAGATGCAGATATACCTTGCCATGGACAAGGACCTAGGGGAGCAGCAGTTCTCAAGGGCAAGAGGCAGAGGATAAGGAGAGGACGATCAGGAACCACAACCCTCAGGCAATAATAGCTTTAAGGGTTCTTTTCTTTTTTTGTCCTTTTTGAGACAGAGTCTCCTTGTTGCCCCAGCTAGTCTGGAATTCATTATGTAGATAGACCAGGCTGGCCTTGAACTGAGAAATCCACCTGCCTCTGCCACCCAAGTACTGAGATTAAGTGCCTGTGCCACCATGCCCAGCTGCTTTAAGGGTTCTTTAATACTGCCCCCCCCCCAGAATTTTCAGCCAGCTCATAAGTACATAATCTAATTTTTTTGAGTGCTTGTTTTGTTAATCCAGTTTCAAGATAAACTGTACCCCCCACCCCCAATGCAAATCCTGAACTCTCCCTGGAGCCAGATAAAGAGAAAAACACCAAAGAGCCAGAATCATCCAACTTTAATAACTTACAGGTAAATGCTAAAAAAATTAGTTAATAATAATACAGAGGACATACACGGCTTATAAAAAGTACTGTGGATCTACAAATGTGAGGAGGGAGTCTTGGCACTTCCACACAGACACAACAATAAAGATTACTGTGACTGAGTTCCTAGAAGAGCAGCTGCGGTCGCCCCCAAATGTGGAGATGGTTCTCATTCATCCCAAATATTCTCTAAACAGCTTTCTACACACCCTCCCCAGACCAAAAAAAATACACAATCCAAACAAAACGGAAGGAAAAGGAGGGCCAGGGCCGAGGTAGAGTCAGCATTTACATTTAAGTCTGATGTCTTGCAGTCCCTATGACTCTAGAGGTGAAGATGGAGCGCTGAAAGACACCTCCTCTCCCATCCCCTCCCCCTTTGTGGCACCAAAACAGGACCCCCATGCTCCTCAGTCCTTTGAGGTGGACAGGTCCAGCACCCAGGCTGAAGGGTCACATGCCCTGCCTGACTATCCATGTGTACTGACCCCTAGTAGGTAGGAAGGGGCAGCCTTGGGTCACCGTCTCTTCTTGCCTGCCCGGGCAGCCTTCTTCCTCTTAAGGATCATCTCGTACAGACGCTCCAGGCCTGGCTGCAGGCCCAGCCCATCCACAGCACTGCAGCCCTGCACATGGGTCAGCGTGGCAGTTGCCAGCTCTCGGACAGCCAGCCTCTTCTCCACCTCGGCTGCGCTCAGAGCACCGGGCTGGTCCTGCTTGTTGGCCAGCACCAGCACCGGCACCCCCTGGTTATCCGAGGCCCTGCTGATACGGTGGAGCTCCACCTTGGCCTCCTCTAGCCGCTCAGTCTCTGTAGAGTCCACCACAAACACCAGTCCATCTGTCCGGCGGGTGTAGGATCGCCACAGTGGTCGCAGCTTCTCCTGACCCCCAACATCCCACACTTGGAAGGTGATTCCACGGGATCCCCCCAAAGGCACCCGGATCTTCTCCATGTTGAAGCCCTTGGTGGGGACGCTCTGAACAAACTCCTTGAACTTGAGACGGTAAAGGAGGGAGGTCTTTCCAGCCGAATCCAGCCCAATGACCACAACGTGCAGGGCTTGGAAGTGGGGCAAAAAGGAGGGGGTGGGCGCCATGTCAGTCAAATGATTCCCCATGGTGAGCTAAGGTGCTGGGCAGAACTAAGGCACAGATCTCAAAGGAGGCCTTGAAATGGCAGACTGCAGGTAGCACGCTGGGTTATCTGAACTGGGAAAGGTCAAGAAAAAGGAACGGTTTAGCAATAAACACGAAATTGGTAAGTTCGAGATCCTTTCCTAAATCAGAACGCTTTTAAAATTTCCTTTAAAAAAAAAAAAAAGATTAAATACCTCCTTTGACTTTTTGTTTTGCCTTGTTTTGAGCCAGGGCTGGCCTGGAACCTACTATGTTGAGCCGGGCGTGCCTTCGCCTCCTGAGTGCTGTAACTAAGGGCTTGGGCAACCCTACCCGGCCTTTTTACATATTTTTAAAACTTTGTTTTGTGTTTGTGTGTGAGCCTGTGGAGGTCAGGGAACAACTTCCGATAATCAGTTTGAGCCTTTCAACATGTGGGTCCCGTGGATCGAACTCGGGTCCTCACGCTTGGTGGCAAGCACCTTTACCCGCCGAGCCATCTCGCCGGCCCCCTTCCCTTTTATTCTTTTTTACGTAGCTGCAGGTTGTAGCACAGGCGTTCCCCCCGCCCTAGGGGCCCTTGAGAGAGGCTTGGAGATCTAGAGAAACCCTCAGGTCCCAGGACACTCGGGGGTTGCGGCATCGTGCGAGCTAGATTCCAGAGTAAGGTCGGTTCCCAGCGTCCCTCCTCCCGCCTCGTGGAGTGGAAGCAGACGCCGTGACTTCCATTCCCCAGACCAGAATACTCGCAGTGAGGAGCGAGTCGGCCGTGACCCCATACTAAGAGCTAGGATCCAGGCGCTGAGACCCGACTCCGAGTCCGGCTCCCACGCCCCTCTACGCGCATCCCCACCGCCCTGCAACAATCTCCTTGCCTCCCTCGGATCGCCGACCTGGCTCTCCAGACCCAGCGAGCGGGCGTCTCTCCACCCCGGAACACCCCTTTATCTTCCGCGCTTCCCCTTTACCTTCCGCGCTCCCCGAGCCACCAGGACCAGCCACGCCGCCGGAAAACAACATACAGCCCTTTAGCCACCGCCGATTCTGCGGTGCGGGCTCTGGGCTCGGCCTTAAAAAAAAAAAAAAAAAAAAAAGCCAACCCTCTCGTGACGTCACAAGGCGCAGGCCAATCGGCGGCCCCATGTCGGTGGGGGCGTGGCCCGGAGCCCACATTACTGCTGCAGCCGCCGGTGCTCAGGGAGGGTACGCTTGCTCAAGCCGGAACCGCTTTATTTGATCATTTCTACTTTATTTTACTATTTGGAGTGAAGCTAGGGATTCTTCAAGCCTGGGCAGTGGAGGAGACCAAAGGGACCGTCGTGGCGGGGCCTGACTAGAGAGGAGTGTCTTAATCCTGAACCCACCGCAGGCTGAGCTACCACCAGCACTGTCTCTCCACCAAAGGGTCTAGAGACGCTGACAAGTTTTCACATCTTTCCTCGTTCAGTTTTCAAACTAGTGTTTGTCTGGAACCCTCATACACCTGATTCAAAAAGCTCAACCCATTATCTTCTTGTTAAGACAGGCACACATAAGCCAGACTGGCCTTGAACTTGTTACATAGCCAAGGCTGACCTTGAACTCCAGATCCTCGTGCCTCCACCTCTCAAGTGCTATGTACCACACACCTATTTTGTTTGTTCTTAAAGGTTTTTTATTTTATGTGTATTAGTGTTTTGCCTGCAATATATGTATGTGCACCACATGTGTGCAATGCCCGCGGAGGCGAGAAGAGGACATTAGATCCCCTGGAACTGGAGTTATAAATGGTTGTTTGCCGCCAGTGTTGAGTGTTGAGTGTTGGTCTGAATACCCGTCCTCTGGAAGAGCAGTAAGTGCTCTTAACACACAAGCCTCTGGGTTCTATCCCCAGTACTGCAATAAGTAAGTAAATAGATAAATCCCTTGTTGGCTTCATACTGTGCCTCTGCAAAAGCCAGAGTTCTATCTAGGGTTGTTGGTGCCTCAAAGCACTTATCTGTAATGAGTGACAAGACTGAGAGCTGGGAGGCAAGGCAGTATGGGAAAGCACACAGATTGGTTGTTTTTTTGGTTTATTTTATTTTTTGGTCTTTTTGAGACAAGGTCTCTCTGTAGCCCCAGCTAGCCTGTAATTCACTACGTAGATCTCACAGAGATCTGCCTGCCTCTGCCCTCCAGAGTGCCTGGCTATATTGGATTTTTACAGATCATCAGATGGGGACATGTGGGAGGGAGAGAGAACATGTCAACTGGCAGCTTCAGGAAAGGTTTCTAGTTCATTGGTCCTTTTTAAAGCCAGATGGGAGAGGCACAGGACTGGAGCGCACCATCCTTAGTAGCTGCAGTCGGCAACCCTGAGGGGGAGGAGATGTCATAAAAGGTAGTGAAACAAAAGGACAACAGAATTACCCTTTGAAAACCTATGTGTAAAGGGGATTGGGAATGGAGGGCAGAGCCCTTTCCTGCCTATCCACTGCAATCAGGTGCTGATAAATAAGCTTCCATCTGTTTAGCACCAGCACATCTTGCCACCTTCTTGTCCCCTCCCTGCCACAGAACCAGCCACCTAGATTACCTGGCAGTTCAGGGAGCATCCAAATCCCTAGAGGTCTTAAATTAGTCTAGGACCAAGACCTTAGGAGATTCCTCTGTGTCATCCCCCAAGACCGAATGAAGGATTGGCCATGCCCGGAGGCAGAACTGAGTGAGCATGGTGAAGTTGGGAATGGAGAAGCACAGGGTACCCCACAGAGTGGCCCCTGCATGCCAGGTTCCAGTCTGAGAGTGTTATGTACTTTTCCTTTTTTAATACATAGACCAGGTGTGGTGGTTCATTCTTGTGACCCCAGCACTGGGGAAACAAAGGCAGGAGGACTGCTACAAGTTCCAAGCCAGCCTGGTCTACCTGACAGATTCTAGGACAGCCAGAGCTACAGTGAGACTCTCAAACAGATAAGCTGGATGTGGTAATGCCAGTCTGTAATCCAAGTACTCCAGAGGTGGAACAGGAGGACCAGGAGTTTAAGATCATCCTCTGCTACATGGCAAGTTTGAGACCAACCTGGGCTATAGAAGATCCTGTCTCAAAAAGCCATAATGACAGAGACAGAGAATGGAGAGAAATTGAGAAGCAGGATGCGTGGTAGGTGGAGAAGTTGAGGATATAGCTCAGTGATAGATCCCTTATATAGTACACTTGAGACTTTAAATTCAATCTCACACTGCAAAACAAAATAAAAAACATAACTCAAGCCCAGGATAACATACGGTTTGTCTAAAAATAAAGTACAGAAAGGTTAGGTGACTTATCCAAGGTCACCCACTTAGAAACTGTACAAACAAACCTGGCTTTGAACAAAGGTTACAGTTGACTATGAAACAGGTTATCCAGCGACTTCAACCATCTCTGAAGCTTCTTCATTAGTTCTCCAGTCTCTCCCGGGATTCACACCCAAGGTGGAAATTGTGACTTATCTGATAAAGGAAATGAAACTGACAGCATCACTCCACCCTTTATCTTTCATGTTTGCAGGGAAGGTGTGATGAACAAATGGGAAGGAGGTTGGGGGGGGGTCTAAGGAGGGGTAAAGGAAGGGGCCTGGCTTGTCCTGATAGCACTAGGTGGTGGGCTTCCCCAACTATTCCCTCTTTTGTTCAGTTTATTTATTTATTTATTTTTTGGTCTTTTTTTTTTTTTGAGACAGGGTCTCCCTGTAGCCCCAGCTGTCCTGGACCTCACTATGTAAACCAGGCCGGCCTTGAACTCACAGAGATCCGCCTGTCTCTGCCTCCTGAGTGTTGGGATTATGTTCAGTTTATTTTTATTTTTATTTGTGTGTGTGTGTGCACGTACACCTATGGTGGTGTATACCTGTACATGGTCATGCGAACATATGCATACACACCAGAGGTCAAAATCAGGTGTCTTCCTTGATAGCTCTTCACCTTAATTTCCTGAGACAAGGTCTCTCTAGCTAGACTGCATCTCCCCCCTTCCCACCCTCCTATCTCTTACCTCTCCAGCACTGGCATTATAGGGACACCCATCTTTTACTTGGGTGCTAAGGATCCAAACTCAGGTCCTCATGCTTGCATACCAAGCCCTTTACCACTGAGCTATCTCCACACTGTGCCTTTTGAAACAGGAATTGCAGTCACTGCATCATCGCCCCCTCCTGGTTGACTTCTCTACTATCAGTGGCCATTCTTACCTCTATAACCCTTCCTTTGACAAGATCCTAGCCCAAGCTAACTCAGGTGTGGTGGCAGGTTGATTCTATGAGATCGAGACCAGTCTGGTCTACATAGGGAGTTTCAGGCCAGCTGGGGTTAGAGAGAGCCTGTCATAATATATACATACATACATACACACACATATGTGTGTATGTATGTATGTATATATGTATATGTATATACACATATATCCTAGCCCAGGACTTTCGGCAGCAGTTAAAAGCTGCTCTTCCGGAGAACCTGAGTTCTCCAGCTCCAGGAGATCTAACCTAACACCCTCTTCTGTGCATAGGCACACACACACACACACACACAAATCAAAAGTAAAATTTTATAAAATTTTTTAAAAAATTAAAAAAAACAAAACAGGAACTAGAAAGATGGTTCAGCAGTTAAGAGTCTTTGCTGCTTTTCCAGAGGACCTGAGTTTGGTTCCCAACACCCATAGAGTGGCTCACAACTGTTTGTAATTCCTGCTCCAGGAGATTTGACACCTTCTTCTGGTCTCTGTAGGTACTACACACATGTGGCATACATTCACATAAACACACATACACATAAAATAAAAAATAAAAATAGAAATACACATAAAATAAAAAATAAAAATTTTAATAACTAAAATTTCCTTTTAATTATGTACATATTAAGCCAGGTGTGGTGGCATATACCTTTAGTCCCAGCACTTGGGAGACAGATGCAGGGGGATCTCTTTGAGTTCAAGACCAGACTGCTCTACAAAGTGAGTTCCAAGCCAGCTGGGGCTCATGGGAGACCCTGTCTCAAAAAAACCAAAAAAAGCCAGGCGTGGTGGCACATGCCTGTAGTCCCAGCACTTGGGAGGCAGAGGCAGGCAGATCTCTGTAAGTTCAAGGCCTGCCTGGTCTACACAATGAGTTCCAGGCCAGCTGGGACTTTTTGAGCTTAAAAAGACCAAAAAAAGTTATGTGTGTGTCTGTGTGAGGTGCCTACAATGGTCAGAGGCATCAAGTCCCCCTAGAACTAGAGTTACAGGTAGTTATAAGCTGCCTAATGTAAGTGCTGGGAACCCAACTCTGGTCCTCTCCAGGAGCAGCAAGTACTCATAACTCCTGACCCATCTCTCCAGCCCCTATACAATGTGTCTTGATAATATCCTCCTACAACTCCCCTTCTCACTCTCCCAGGCATACCCACCATGTTCCCCTCCCACCAAAGCCTGACTTTTTGGAGGAGAAAAACAGAGGCCAGGGATGGGATGAGACCTGGCTTTGGGGATGACACTGATACACCCTCCCTATCCCAAATCCTGACATGCTAAAACCCTGGCCTGAGAGTGAAAGTATTCATCCAGTCTCTCACTAATAGACTGGCTTGGAAAAGGTACTTCTAACTGGGACCATCACTTCCTCAGCATGTAATGAGAGGTTTCAGTGATCCCAGGCCCTCTTCCCCATTACAGGCCCTGCACTGGAGCAAGGAAGGGTGAGATGATGGCTGGGAATGGTTGAACACATCCTCATCTCTGCAGCAGCTGGCCTGGAATTCAAGTTCCTCCTGTCTCTGCCTTCTGAGTGCTGGGATAACAGACTATGACATCACTCCTGGCTCCACAGCACCTTAAGCAAGTGTATGTCGGAGAGAACAGATGAAGGACAGGGGAGGAAGGAACAGATGCTTAAGAGCAACTATCACCTTGGGAATCACAAAGATCCACTTTTCAAATCCTGTTTCTGTTTCTTTAGTAACAAAATGCAGAAAACAGCAGGGTATAGCAGCCCATGCCATTAATCCTAACGCTTGGAAGGTTGAGGCAGGAGGATTGCCTTGATTTCAAGACCAGCTCAGGATATATAGTGAATTCCAGGCCAGCCTGAG